ACAGAAATAGATCTGTGAAGGCTCCCAATACTAGAATTATCAGACATAAAGCTTTAAAATAAGTAAGATTATTATGCTAAAGTAGATAAAAGACTAAATTAAAAATCTGGCGAAGAATTGAAAGCATAAAAAATGATATAGCTGATTTTTTTTTTTTTGAGACGGAGTCTCACACTGTCGCCTGGGCTGGTGTGCAATGGCGTGATCTCACTGCAACCTCCACCTCCTGGGTTCAAGTGATTCTCCTGCCTCAGCCTCCCGAGTAGCTAGGATTACAGGTGCCCGCCACCATGCCTGACTAATTTTTTGTATTTTTAGTAGAGATGGGGTTTCACTATGTTGGCCAGGCTGGTCTCAAACTCCTGACCTCATGATCTGATCCACCTTGGCCTCCCAAAGTGCTGGAATTACAGGCGTGAACCACCACGCCCGGCTTTTTTTTTTTTTTTTTTTTTTTGAGATGGAGTTTCGCTCTTGTTGCCCAGGCTGGAGTGCAATGGCACAGTCTTGGTTCTGCCTCCTGGGTTCAAGCAATTCTCCTGCCTCAGCCTCCTGAGTAGCTGGGATTACAGGTACTTGTCACCAAGCCCAGCTAATTTTTGTTTTTTAGTAGAGTCAGGGTTTCACCATGTTGGCTGTGTTGGTCTCAAACTCCTGACCTCAGGTGATCCACCCACCTCAGCCTCCCAAAGTGCTGGGATTATAGGAATGAGCCACCAAGTCTGGCCTGATACAGCCGATTTTACTTTTTTAAAATTTTTCCTTTTCTTGAGACGGAGTCTTGCTCTGTCTTCCAGGATGGAGTGCAGTAGTGCAGTCTTGGCTCACTGCAGCCTCCTCCTCCCGGGTTCAAGCTATTCTCCTGCCTCTGCCTCCCCAGTAGCTGGGATTACAGTCGTGTGCCACCACACCCAGCTAATTTTTATATTTTTAGTAGAAACAGGATTTCAGCATGTTGGCCAGGCAGGCCTTGAACTCCTGACCTCAGGTGATCTATCTCGGTCTCCCAAAGTGCTGGGATTATAGGCATGAGCCACTGCGCCCAGCGATACAGCTGATTTTAAAAAGAGAGGATATTACATCTCTCAGACGATAGGAAAAATGAAACGGAAGAAATAATCAAATAGGAAAAACAAAGAAAATCACTAGTCTCTATCTCTATTTCCACAGAATGAATGAGATTTTTGAATCTTCAAAACGCCAAGATAGAATCCCAAAGTACTTACAAAGCAATGGAAATTAGATTTACAATAGATTTTGTAGCAATAAAACTGGATGCAAAGTCTATGGAACGATGCCTTCAGGGACCTAAGGGGATTTGACTTTGAACCTAGGATTCAAAGTACCTAGTCAATTAAGGTACACCACAGTCAAATTTAAAAATGAAATAAAAAATTAGGCCTCTGTACAAACCAAGGCCTGTGAGGGTTGACCCTCCAGCCTTTTTGATGTTAACTCCTTTCGCCCTTCCATTACCATCCTGTTGGGCTGTTCCTTTTAAATTCTAAACTCTCCCACCTCAGGCCTTTGCACTTTCCCTCCACCTGGATGTTCTTCTCCCAAATATATGCATGGCTTCATCCCTCACCTTTTCTGGTCTCTGCTTATCTGTCAGTTTGGCCTTTTCTTTTTTTTTTGAGACGGAGTCTCGCTCTGTCGCCCAGGCTGGAGTGCAGTGGCGCAATCTTGGCTCGCTGCAAGCTTAGTTTGGCCTTTCTTAATTGCCCAACATGAAACAGCGTCCTGCCAGTATTCTGTATCTCCCTGCCCTTTTAATTTTTTTTCCATGGCATCCATCACCACTCAAGACACTACAGATACCTCTTCTCATTTGCTTAGTCTGTCTCTCTCCATAAGAAAGCAGATCCATGAATGCAGGGACTCAGTCTGCCTTATTCACTGCTGCCTGCCCCATGCCTATACCACGCCTGGCCAGGGGAGGTGCCCCATCAGTGACTGCTCAATGATTGAATGAAACTGTGAGCTAACTCTTAGATCCATACCTTCTCCCGTCCCCCACCAATGTGTTCCTTTCCTGATTTAATCAATGGTTCCGGCATCCATTTTTTCAGCTACACCTGGAGGTGCCACATGTTCATTACGCTCTTTCCTTCCACATTCAACCACCCATCAAATCTTATTGGTTCTGTCTCCAAAATACATCTTGAACCTGTCCCCTTTCCCCTCTCCATGGCCACCACACTGATCCAAGTCACCTTCATCTCTTCCTGGGACTGTTACAGAAGACACTCCCTGATTGTTTTTCTATTTTAGTTCATGACACCTCTGCGCCAACTCTGCCAAGAAGAAAACACTAGCTTCTCGAAAGGTCTCTGTGGCACCTCCTGCCTCATCTCACACCACCCTCTCCTTTTGCCTTCTATGTGCCAGCCACAGTGGCTTCAAACAAATCAAACACTCTACTTTTACTCTCACTTCTACTAGGAAACACTTTCTCCAGGTCTCTATACGGCCGTCTCACTCTTCTCCTTGGGTTTCATCTGCAGTGTCCTCTCGCGAGGCCTTCCCTGGTCACTCCTTCCCAGGCACTCTCATCTGAAGACCCTGCTTATTTCCTTCTTAGTCTGAATCTAGTCTGAAAATATTTTGTTGACCTAACTGCCTCTCTGCTTATGTGTGCATCCCTACCAGACTGAGCTCCATGAAGGCAGGGAAGTACCTTCCGTCTTTTGTCTTCACAATCAAGCCCAGAGCCCATGCAGGCAGCCTCCCTCAGCATAGGCATGTGGAGGAGCACTCTGTGGCTCCTGATGTCCAGGGCCCACCTCCTGCTAGGTTGTGGAGGGCAGGCATGTCACCCTCTCACTGATGCTGGGACTTGAGGCTGAGTGCTGGAGAAGTCTAACAGGACACAATTCAAAGCCCTTTGGCTTATTTAAAAAATCTCCACCTTCATGTTTCAAGAAAGAATTCTTGCAGCAACAATGAAAGAAGCACCTACCACTACTGTTGACTCCCACTGGCTTCCAGTGGAGTAGTGAACCGGACCCAGTAAGTCCTTGCATATTTCTCGAAGTCGGTATTCAAACCCTAATTATAGAAAAACAAACAAACAAACAAAAAAACAAAACAGAAATAGGAACACATTACAAAAAGAAATAAAAATCAAGAATATGCTATGTTGTTGTGTCTATCAAATCAGAATAAACACATGCGTATTTTATTGCCTACTACGGGCAAGATACCCCTGCATGTCTCTCAGTGTGGGGCACTGAGACCCATAATTGCAGATTTTCACTCATTTGCTCACTCCCCTGACAACATCTGTAGTACCTCCTCTGTGTGTTGCGCCCAGAGGAAAAACAAGATGTGGCCAATTCTGTGATAAACTCCTTAAGGTGATGGGAAAATATGGGAAATTGTGGGCTGGTAAGATCTGTCTTTGAGAATATGGGCTGCCAACTGGTGTTAAGAGGAGGTCAGGAGGGTGGGGAGGCCAGCTCATAGGAGGTAAGAGATGGCAAAGGTATGACTGAGGAGGGGCAATTGAGTGGAGGGGGCATAGGCCCATTAACTCAAGGGTTATGGGCATCACCCAGTAGGGTTGCTAGAAAGGCTGGAGGTAGAGTGTCGGGGTTTGTCAGCACTCGGGGCAGCTAAAGCAATAGCGAATGGATTAAATTGTCCAAAGAAAAGGGTGGAGTAAGAGAGGTGAAACTGGAATCTGAGGAATTTTGGAAGTGAATGGGGTCCACTTTTACACTAGATTCCTCCTTTTAACAGCCAAGGAAACAAGGGACAGAATGGAAGATGGGTAACTGGTGTATGGACACTGGAACAGGCATGTGGAGGATGGAGAAAGAGAAGCAAGCAGCAGAAGTGATCCCAAGATGGGTGGCGGGGCCGACAGGAGGTAGGGACTTGATGTAGGGCATCAGAGCAAGTCCCAATCAACACCTAGGATGAAGCAAACCAGAGTGGAATAAGAGGAGGGGCTCCCAGGGAAGATGTGACTAGAGCACCACAGGAGAGGTATGAGGGCCTGGGAAGGCTGAGTATTCAGAAAAGCTGGGGACCACACATAATGGCAACCACATAGACCTGGTGGGAAGAGTAAACATCAAATTCATCATTGCGGTCTGCAGGGAGGGAGGGGAGGCTTCAAGCTGATCAGTAATATTTGCTGTCATTTACAAGTGTATGTACACACACACACACTCATATTTACACAGCCAGAGGCACATATGACATGTTAGTTCTGGGAATTAAATTCGTGAAGGTCTGATTATGATTTTCTCTGTCTTTTCTGTACTTGAATTTTTTTCTAAATTATAATCAAAACGGGGAAGGTGATGACAAAAATAAAGCAAAAAGGCCAGGAAGCTGCACAGGAAGAGCTCTGGGAGGGCCTGCCCATGCCGCACCCTGAAGGCTGCACTCAAGTGGGAGGAAAAGCTGGTAAGGCTATTGGAGTCACTGTGAGGACAGTGCAGCCACCTCTTCCAGCATACCTGGCTTTCTGCAGGGGAGGCAGCAGAGTGAGAGCTCTGGCAGGAAGCACCAGGAATGGAGGGCCTCAGTAAGTGCAGGACATCAGGCAAGCCTGTCCAGGGCAGGAGGGGCTGGGAGGAGGAAGAGAACCACTGCTACAAGATGCCCTCACTGATGAGCAGCACTGCCAAGGTGTGGTGCAGGGCAGGAGCCAGAACACAGAATCTACTCCTTCAGGCCATGTCTTTCCACCCAGGCATCTATTCCACCCTCCTGCGGCCTGTCCTGCTGCTCCTCTGCAGGAACACCCTCAGGGCCACTCTATTTAGAGCCTCAGAGCCTATTAAGGGGCTGGGTGCCTGCTGAGCTGCCTTAACTGCAGCTCAGGCTGGGAGGTAGAGGCTGCTGGGCCCACCTTGTTGATGGGAGAGCAGCAGGCTGGGATCTGGGCCATCACACCTTTTCCCTGATTCCACAGGGACTAAGCCAGGCCTGGGAGGATGGAGGGGCAGAAGGAGAAAGCTGCTCAGGGCTGCCAGGAGCCTCACCTTCGTTTACGAGGTACCGTGCGTAGAGGAGGAGCCAATGGCGGTACTCGTGGCTGGACTGCAGGGTGAGTGCTGCTGCCACCTGGTTCTCTAGGTAGGCCAGGGTGGTCTCTCGCTGCACCACGTGAGGCACGGAGAAGAGCCGGGCAGCCTGCCTTCCCGAGCTGCAGAGACCAAGAGAGTTTCCATGATGAGGCAGCAGGCACTACAGAGTGAGGAACTGCCCCCATGTGCAATAGGCAAGGAGCTGGCAGGAGGCAGGCACCAGGGCTGCCAAGGCCTCCCGTCCACTAGCTAGTCTGTTGGCAGATGCCAGATCTGTTGTCTGCCCATCCCCACATCCCAGCCATGTGCCTCCTGGCACCCTTGGGGTATCTCACCCAGCACCTGCCATCTGGGCCCCTGAAGTGACAGGGCCAGTGACTGCTGCCCCCAACCCCAAGATATTACTTGATGCAGGACCACTACCCTCAGCACCCCTAGTCTGTCCTGCCCAGCCTGCCTGTGCTGACCAGCACCTGGGGCACAGGGGAAGGGCAGGTGGATATGAGGCCTGGGTAGGGACTGTGTGTGCACTGACCCAGTCACTTCCCCAGGGCAGGACTAAGGACAGAGGCCATGGCACTGGGGTCACGTACTTGGAGGTGCGGCCCTGGATTATGGCTAATGGTCCTGAGCACAGCATGGCGTCCTGGGATGGCAGGCTGCTCCTAAAGTCTGCACACTGAGCCAGTGAGTCCTGCTTGTCAGAAACCAGGTTCCTGGGGAGGCAAAGGCAGGAGCAGAGCTCAGGAAAACCAAGATATCTACCAGAGGAGGCTGGCAAGGAGGCCACAGAGAAGCAGCCCCTGTTGACACAGAAAGCCAGCAGAAGCTGAGCGCCCCTGCACTTCTGCACAGGCGCCTATCACTGACAGGATTCATGGTAATGGGTCTGATAGATCATTGTTCCCGAGGAAAAATGAATGAGGCGAAGGCTGTGGATAGGGCCCTTGCTGGGAACACTTCAGCTCCATATGTTGGTTCCTGATGACTGCAGGCCTGTGTGTGCAGTGTGCTCTGATGCTCGGCTCAAATACTGCCATGGTCTGCCCAGGGGCCCACATGGCCTGGGTCCTGTAGCTGGGGAGTAATGCCAGGCCTCTACCTGCCTTTATTTCTACAACTATCCCAGATTGGCAGTCCTTCCACCTACTCTGGACCTTTTTCATCCTTGTGAAGAAAAGACTCTTCACACACTTTTAGAACAGCTGGATGTCTTTGTAAATGTGTCCAAAATACAAAGATGCCTATAGACAATCAATATTTCTCTTCTTAAATAATCAGTTTATTTCCATTATTACAGCAATCATATATAATAGATAACATTTTGCAATTTGGGGGAGCAGGCAGTGGAGGTTTTTCTTCCTTTGAGACAGGGTCTCACTCTGTTGTCCAGGTTGGAGTGCAGTAGTGTGATTATGGCTCACTGCAGCCTTGACCTCCTGGGCTCAAGGGATCTCCTGCTTCAGCTTCCCAAGCAGCTGGGACTACAGATGTCTGCCACTGCACCAGGCTTATTTAATTTTTTTTTTTTTTTTTTTTTTTTTTTTTGGTGGAGACAGGGTCTTACTATGTTGCCCAAGCTGGTCTCAAACTCCTGGGGTCAAGCAATCCTCTCAGCCTCCCACAGTGCTGGGATTACAGGTGTGAGTCATCGCACCCAGCATTTTTTTTTTTTTTTTTTCCAAATTCAAGAAAGAAGTCTCAGTGTGAATGTAGACTTCTGCATGGCAGTTCTTAACAGAAAACAGGCTAGGAGGTAGCAAGCTTTGGTTCTTAAGGACCAAAGGTATAGACAGAAGAAAAGAACTTGGAGTGGCTGGAACACAATGTACATATTTCATGTGTCTGGGTTAAGAGCTCTGTGTATAAAGTATTTTGCAAGTACAGAAAAGGGCTCCAAATTCCGAAGTGGACAGAGGAAAAGTACAGACCATTATGCCTCGGTAAGTGGATGAGCATCCTTACTAATTCACTGAGGAAGTCTGAAGTACTTACTAAGCTCACAGAAATTGACTAGTCCTGGTAAGGCTCCTGTAAAGCCAACTCACCTATGCTCATGGTGGCTAAGGGGGCCACAGCAAAAACCGTAACAATTTTGGGGCTTTTTCAAAAAGTGGCTCCTGAAAATAATGCAGGAGGACAGTGCTCCTGCACATAGGCTCTGAGGGTAGAGGCCACAGGCTGCAGTGTCCTGCTGGGACAGGGAAGCATGCACAGATAGTCAAAGCAGCCTTCACTCCAGGGCCTGACTCTCAGGAAAAGCAGGGCTAGGCAGCCCTGTAGGCCACGACCCTTTGCTCTGCTGTCTAGAGCAGACAGACACTCTTCCAGGGAATAGTGCTGGGGGTCAGCTTGCTTACCATGTAGAAAGTGACGGATTAAAGCAGTACGCCTTCCCATCAGACAGGTTCATTACTGGGATTCCATGCTGCGTCAGCAAGATCTGTGATACCGTCATATCACTTCCTGGAGACAGCACGGGAATGAGTTCTGGGTGTGTTCTGATCAGCAAGTGTTTGCACACACATCAAAGGAGAAATCTAAACTCTAGGCTCCCACAGTCCCAGCAGCAAATGCGTCAACACTGCCCTGGCAAATAGGGAGGGCAAGCCATTCTCCTTGCCACACACCAGGCTCTTGTCACCTCTTGGGGACCCATTCAAACACGTCCCCAAAAAGTGTGTGTCTCCTGCAGCTTAACTGCACCTCCTGCCTCACAGAGAGCTCTGTGCTGAGGCCAGAGCCTGGCTCTCTGAGCGGGGCCCTTCTGTAGCATCAGACATGAACTTGGGCCCCCAGGGGAGTAGGGGCAGCCTGCTGCCTGCATTACCTGCCAGAATGGAGTGTAGAGACTCTTCTTTCACCACAACCACCTGTCTGTGAACATCCCTAGGAAGGAGACAGGGAACAGTTTACTCACCAACCCAAGTAAACACATCAGAGTGTGCCTCAGTCGTTCAGACACCCTGGTCCCTACTGCATGCGCCCCTAACCCTGGCTGCTCCTGGTGAGAGGGACTCTGGGCTACGCGTGGCTTCTGCTCTCCATGTGCCACTACACTCCCTCTGCATAAGGATGCAGCACACAGCCCAGGCAACAGAGCCACGGGGAACCCTCAGCGTCCATACCACTTTGGGGGAAGCTGGGCCACAGCAGCCACATCAGGAACATGGCCACACTCTGCCAGCTAAGACTCCATTTCTGATGAACTCCGCATAGAACCCTGGCAGTGCAACTGGTTGCATGAGCTGCTCCAGTAAGGAGATAATCAAGCAGGCAAGCTGCCTCCATCCCCATTGCACAACATCCCTCAGCCCTCAGCCTACCCAGGGCACCCAACAAAAGCAATATCACTAACTGCTCAGGGCCTCCTCTGGGGCCTGATGGCCAGCCTTGTCCACTGCCTTCCCTGCCCCTGCAGTGAGGTGGGGCCTGCAGAGCCCTGTCCTGCCCTGGCTGGAGCCCACCCACCCTGCACCTGCCTCTCACCAGACAGACAGTGTGGCTGCAGCGGTGAGCGCCATGACGTAGGAGCCTGTGCAATGCAAAGTAGAGATCGGGGACGGCAGGAGGATGGGAGAGAGGAGACGGCGACCACAGGTGGAGAACACTGACAGCATCCTTTTTTCACAGGCGACACACACCACATCACTGAGAAGACAGAGTGAAGGCAGGTGTCACGGGGGCTGGGTGCTGCAGCCAAGACAGTAGCCCTGGATGTGTGGGCCTTTCCTCTGCCTGGGCCCAACAAGAGCCTCCCCTGAGCAGGTACAGTCAGAGGGTAAGGTGGATTGGGTTAGGGTGGGGCTGGTGGGGCTGTTGGAGCCTCCCTGAGATCTTGGATGAAAGAGGTGTCTGTCCTCTTTTCACAGGCTGCCCGTGCTTTCCTAAGTTCACACTGATGCTGACCAAAGGGTGTGGGGGCTTTGGAGAGCAATGCCTCTGATGATCACCCAGGAAACATGCCTTGCTTATCGGATAAGGCCACATAGTACCCACAGGACAGTCTCCTGGCTGCAACTAGTCAGACCAGTCCTAAGAAGGTCTCTAACAAGGCAGGCTAAGAGAAGTGCAGGGATGACAGCATGCACCCCTGTGTCCAAGAGGCTGTCTGGCTGGCGTGGGAGATGCATGTCGCTCCCAAACCAGGAGTGCCTTACAGAACAGTCTGGACACTGTCCAGCCTCTCCTCTGAGTGACCACCAGGCCCCTGGGAGGGCCCTGCACAAGCAGGCTGCTGCCTTCCCAGAGAGAGCCCCCTAAGGCCCAGCCACAGGCCCAGGGTGAGGCTGGAGCTTAGACCCCAGTCAGCAGTAGCAGATGTGCAACCAGTATAGTGAGATCCTGGCCACAGTAGCTACCCAGAGCCCCGCTTTGTGTCACTTCTATCCTGCTGAGCCAGTCACCCCAGCAGGCTCAAGGAGGTCAGTTAAGTAAGGAGCTCTGCCAACCGCTTTCCTAATGAGACACTGTTGCTACTGGCTCCAAAAAGGGAGAGGCAAGTGAGATGCTTTTGTTTACAAATATTTACTTGGAGAGTATGAATCAGAAAACACTATAAACAGCACGGGCAGCAGGGAGCTCTCCGAAGTGCTGTGACTGAATTCTTATTTCTTCTGAGACAGAGTCTCAGTCTGTCACCCAGGCTGGAGTGTAGTGGTGTGATCTCGGCACACGACAACCTCCACCTCCCCAGTTCAAGTGATTCTCCTACCTCAACCTCCCGAGTAGCTGGGATTACAGGCACACGCTACCACGCCTGGCTAATTTTTGTATTTTTGGTAGAGATGGGGTTTCATTATGCTGGCCAGGCTGGTACTGTGACTGAATTCTATCTGCCCATCTCTGGTGGTCAGAGCCTGCCTCAAGTTAGCCCACTGCAAAGAAAGCCATCATTTCTGGGCTGTAACACTGGGGAGCAGGTCTGCAGGCTGGGCCTGAACTGGACAGGACTGAGCAGAAGGGGAGGTCCCAGGTGGTCCAGCAGGCTTGCCCCACAGCTGCTATGTCACTGTGGGAGAGGCTGTGCTGACACCCCTTAGCCCTCAGCTGGGGAAGCCACCTGCCTTGGGGGAGGCACAGAGAGTGGGAGCCTGTGGCAGTATCTGACACACAGGTGCCTGGGACCGGGAGTTTAGCCAGCTCATCTAGAGGGGGAATTCGAGGGAGGAACAGAACAAACAGTAGGGTCCCCTAGGCCTAACAACACAAACTCACTCAGGGACCACAAGAATTGTGGTCTAAGACCTAAGGCCACATGCTTTGATACAAGTAAAAGCATCTACATGGGACCTCATGGCAGATGATTAAGGGTGTAATTACGATGACTGTATGTAAGTGGTCATGTCTATAAACTTCTGCTGAGTGTCTCCCACGTGGTCCTGACTGGGACGCTACATCAGGCAGGAAACTGAGAAACACTGGTTCCCCTTCCATATTTAACACAGGCAGGGACAGGGCTCACATATAGTTCCAGGAACCTAGGGGAAGATACTGGGTGACTAATCACTGAATCAAGGTGGTGCCCCTCACAGTGCAGAATCTGGAATGGGCTGGGATGGCGACTTCAGGGACAGTCAGAAATCCATCCTGACCAACTTGGATGGAAATCTGGGATCCAAAAAAGGAACCAGCCCAGGTCAAAGTGAGCCAGGCACACCTTAGCGTGGAACTCGAGACTTTGGGGATCTGGCTGGACAAGGGAATCAGGCCATCAGGTCCAAAGACTGGCCTGGGTAATCCTCAGGGGCTCAGTTTCCCCATCTATAACATGGGCATACTGATGCTGACCTTGCTGGGTGTTGCAGGGACTGAGATGGCAAGCGCATATGCCTGGCCTGGAGTGAAGCCTGGTGTGAGCCTCTGTGGGAGCTGGCGCTCCCAGGGTCATGCACGTCCCCTAGACAGACCCAGGCCCAGAATGATGGCATGTGTGCCTGTGTCACCTGGGCCGGCTAAGGACCTGCCCACCCTTACCAGCTGCCCGCAGCAGTGAGGATCCGGCTGGTGAGTACCGTCTCCCACTCCTTCCCTTCCCGGTTGCACTTCAGGCGGCTCAGCTTCACGCCCCCCACCACTGTCACTTCATTCTCCACCTCAATGTACATGGAGGGATCGGAGCTGACCTGGATGAAGTAAACACATGGGCCTGCTCAGACAAGGGCCGCAGCCCAGGTGACATGCTCCAAGGCTCTGTAGCCTGGGGCCCCAAGGCAGCAGCAGGATACAGAGGCAGAATGGCTGGCCAACAGAGGAGGTGGAGGGCAGGCGGGGCAAAGGGGCTGAGCGGGAGGCCCAGAGGGCCAGACATGTGGCCCCCAGGGCAGCGAGAATGCTGGGAGCTGGTTTCTACCCTGTCATCTGTGTAGTTGGACAGCCAGAGAAGAGAAGCAGTGCCAGGGTTAAAGACCCCAAAGTCACCCAACCCTGCCACTTCATCTCACAAGGGAGTAATGTGCCCAAAAGCACACTGCAAAGGACTGAGCTGGGAGTGAGACTTGGGTTTCTAGCCTCCTACTTGAAGAATCTTCAAAGATGTCAGTGTTTGGCAAGATTAGAGACCATGTCAGTGTGTGGAGGGAATGTCTAGAAAACCCCCAAAGGGGCTCTCCAGTTCCTGTGGTGTTAGACTTGGTCTGCTCAAATGAGACTAAACTGGCAGGGGTGTTTATGGCACAGCATGTATGAGAAGCACCTAGTTCAGTGTCTGGCACCAAATGGGCTCAGCTGCATGCATGTGTGGAGAGCTGAACAACAGATTTTCCCTACGGAAAAATAGGCAGAACAACCAGTCTGTGCTTGTGCGGCCACTCAAGTGGGTGAGCTGGGCCGAGGGACGACTGCCCCCTTCACAGACCCAGAAACGACAGTCCCAAGCAGTGCTTGGAGGGGAAGATGCCTAGGGGAAGGGCTGGAGGAGTTTGGGAGAGTTCTGTGCTGAGAAGCAGGGCACCCAGGAGGGAACCTGCGTCAGAACACCTGTGAGTGCAAGAGCACGTCTGAGCGCTGCTGACCACGGGAGGGCCCCTGCCTCCATTGACACCAGCAATAAGAACAAACCCTGTGGGTCCCTACCTTTTGGCTTTCCTGCTTCATTCCTCTGCACTGTGGCCCAGAAGGACCTATGGTAGGAAGGGCTGACGCCTGCTCTCTGGTGCCCTGTGAGGACCAGCCTGGACTCAGAGCAGTGTGCAGCCAGTGGAAAGTGACCCGCACACAGGGTCCAAGAAGGCTGCTTGAGGACAGGCACCTGAGCTGAGGTACAAGGGTATGCAGACAGGCAGCAGTATGTGTGACGGCACCACGGCAGGAGAGGCCTAGATACTGTGCTGGGCCAAGTGACCAGGAGGGCTCTGGGTATAAAGGATTATTTACTCCAGAATTGTGTTTTGGATAACCACATGCTTACAAGCTTCCATTCCAAGAGCTCAAACAACTCTGATGATGACTGTGCTGGACACTGAGAAGACAAAGCTAGCAGGATGGTTGGGAGATAGACCACGACTACACAGTCCCACAGACACCAAGCCTGAGGCTGCCCAGGGCTGTGTGTGGAAATGGAGGTGGCTTCCAGTCAGGAGAGGATTCCTGAAGAGCATCAGAACATGTGGTGGTAACGGCAGCCCCAGCAGCTGGGATCCCAAGGGCAAAGCCAGACGGAGGCCATGGGTGGGTGAGAGTGGAGGCTGGCAATTTTGCTAAGAGTTGGTGCATACCCCGATCTTCTGTGACTTCCCCTAGAAGGTGATGGAGAGCCACTGGAAACCAATCTCCAAGGAAGTGACAAGATCGGGTTTGTATGTGGTAGGGGACAGGGAATCTCTGGGTGTGCCTGACGGAGAACTGGCAGGGTCCCAGAACTTACCTGGAGGGTGAATGCTCTCTGGGGGCCTGGAATTGGCAGCTTCAGTGCAAGTGCTGGTGCAGAGAGACACATGGCCTCCTTCTCTGCAGTTAGGGCAGCTGGAGACTGGAAGAGCCAGAAACATTCCTGAGCCTTGCTCTAACACTACGGGATAGCATTTGGTAAAGGCAAGTCACCCAGAAGTGAGGCTGGGCCTACGACCAGGGCATTTCCAACCTGGGAGGGAGGAAGCAGAGGGGAATGCTGCAAGGATCCTCACCTTATAGACAAGCCAGTTGATGCCAGGGAACCTGCTCAAGGGCCCTGGGTGAGTCAAGGGCAGGTCTGAGGGAGAGCGTGGCCTCCATGCTACATTCCAGGGGCTGCATGTCTAAGCTAGCTGGTTCCCAAGGTGCCCCCCACCCAGCTGAGGCTTACTATGCACACAAGGCCTTCAAGCTCTAAGTGCAGAAAGGTGGGCTACAGAAGGCAGAACGGGCCCACTGGCCTCACCTGGACAGACAGAGACACAGGCATGAGACGAGAGTCCTTCCGAGGCCGCCCTTTCTTCTTCTTCTCTACTGTCTCTACTTCAAGCTCAAGTTTTCGCTTGGACAGCGAGGAAGGCTTAGCCAAAGGGACTTTCTCATCGCTGTCACTGCTGCTCTCCAGGAGGTCTCGGGGCCTCAGCTCTTTCACAAGGTTCTGCTCTTTTAACCTGCATAAAAACATTACATCACACTTCCCTTCAGAAACCATTCATGCAAGAAAGAGTGAAGTGAAATATTTAAAGTGCTTAAACAAACCTCTTGCCAACCTAGAATTCTGTGTCCAGTGAAATTATGCCTCAAAAATAAAGGAGAAATAATGACTTTGTCAGACAAAAATAAACAAAGAGACACCAGAATCTGTTGCCAGAAGACCTGCCTTGCAAGAAATGTTAAAAGTCTTTCAGAGAGAAGATAAATGATGCAGGCCAGAAACTCACATCTGCATGAAGAAAGGAAGAGTGTTAGAGAAAAAAGAAAACGAACATAAAATAGAATATTTTATATTTCCTATTCCCAACTGATCTAAGAGACAACTTTCTGTTCAAAGAAATAACAGCCACCATGTCTTGAATGACTATAGTTTATGAATGAGTGAAATAAGTGGTACCAATGTCATAGGGCAAGGAAGGAAAGAGAGGGGAACTCTTTCTACTACCCATGAAGTGGTATAATATTATTTGAAAGTAGAATTAGGTTATAAATGTTTATGGTAAACTCTAGAGCAATCACTAAAAAATTTTTTAAAGCATAATTAATAATGCTGAGAGGAGAGAAACTTTATTTTTATTTTATTATTATTTTTTTGGAGATGGATTTTCACTCCTGTCGCCCCGGCTGGAATGCAATGGTGTGATCTTGGCTCACTGCAACATCCGCCTACCAGGATCAAGTAATTCTCCTGCCTCAGCCTCCCGAGTAGCTGGGATTACAGGTGTGTGCCACCACGCCTGGTTAATTTTTTGTATTATTAGTAGAGAAGGGGTTTTACCATGTTGGCCAGGCTGGTCTCAAACTCCTGACCTCAGGTGATCTACCTGCCTCGGCCTCCCCAAGTGCTGGGATTACGGGCGTGAGCCACTGTGCCTGGCTGAGAAAACTGAGTCATATAAAACACTCAGTTAAAACCAGAGAAGGCAGAAAAAGAAGATAAAAAGAAGTGAAGATTAAAAAAAAGAATAAGGCCAGGCATGTGGCTCATGTCTGTAATCCCAGTACTTTGGGAGGCTGAGGTGGGTGGATCACCTGAGGTCAGGAGTTCAAAACCAGACTGGCCAACATGGTGAAACCCTACCTCTACTAAAAAATACAAAAATTAGCTGGGCATGGTGGCAGGTACCCGTAATCCCAGCTACTGGGGAGGCTGAGGCAGAAGAATCACTTGAACCCGGGAGGCAGAGGTTGCAGTGAGCTGAGATAGTGTGCCATTGCACTCCAGCCTGGACAACAGTGAGACTCCATCTCAGAAAAAAAAAAAAGAAGAAATGCTAAAACATGGCAGGTATTAATACAACTATATCAATCAACTTTAAATGTGAAAGCTCTGAATATACCAATTAAATACAAAGACTGACAAAATGGATAAAAAAGCAAAATGTTTTTAAGAAATGGGTTTATGTGGCCAAGCACCATGGCTCATGCCTGTAATCCCAGCACTTTGGGAGGCTGAGGCGGGTGAATCACCTGAGGTCAGGAGATTGAGACCGTCCTGGCCAACATGGTGAAACCCCGTCTCTACTAAAATACAAAATATTAGCCAGGTGTGGTGGTGTGTGCCTATAGTCCCAGCTATTTGGGAGGCTGAGGCAGGGGAATCGCTTGAACCCAGGAGGCAGAGGTTGCAGTGAGCCAAGATCGTACCATTGCACTCAAGCCTGGTGACAAAGTAAGACTCTGTCTCAAAAAAAAAAAAAAAAAAAGAAAAAAGAAATGGGTTTATGTTTTTAAAAATTTAATTTTAACTACAAAAGACAAAGACAGGTTAATAGTAGATGTACACAGTGGCTCATGCCTATAGTCCTAGCTACTTGGTAGGCTGAGGCAGGAGGATCGCTTGAGTCCAGGGGCTTGAGAGCAGCCTGGGCAAAATAATGAGACTCCATCTCTAAGAGTAAAAAATAAGTAAATAAATAAATACAAGAAAAGGGGTGATTCTAACTATATGACAACCTGGAACAGGCAAAACTATGGAGACAATAAAAAGATCAGTGGTTTCCAGGGGTTGGGGAGAAGGAGTATCTATATGAAGCACAGAATTTTTAAGGCATTGAAACTATTCTGACTGGGTGTGGTGGCTCTTGCCTGTAATCCCTGCACTTTGGGAGGCCAAGTTGGGCAGATCACTTGAGGTCAGGAATTCGAGACTGGCCTGGCCAACATGGTGAGACCCCATCTCCACTAAAAATACAAAAATTAGCCAGGTGTGGTGGTGCACACATGTTATCCCAGCTACTCGGGAGGCTGAGGTAGGATAATCGCTTGAACCTGGGAGGCGGAGGTTGCAATGAGCCGAGATGTGACTGTGCCACCACACTCCAGCCTGGGCAATAGAGCGAGACTCTGTCTCAAAAGAAACCAAAAAACTATTCTGTAAGATATGATAATGATACATATATGTCATTATACATTGGTTAAACCCATACAACGTACAACATCGAGAGTAGACCCAAATGTAAACTATGGGCTTTGGGTGATGATGTGCCCCATTCTGGTGGGGGATGCTATGGGTGTGTTGGGCGGGGGGCATATGGGAACTCTTTGTATTTCCTGTTCAATTTAGCTGTGAACATAAACTGCTCTAACAAATAAAGTCTATTTAAAAAAAAAAAAAGAAAAGCAGGGACTGGAGAAAGACATGCCATAACACTAATCAAAAAAAGCTGGTGTAGTTACATAACATAAGCAAAGCAGGCATCAGAGCCAGTAAAGTTATCAAGGATAAAGAGGGACATTACACAGTGATAAAGATGAAGGAGAACAATTCTGAATAAGTACAGAAGCACACCTCGTGTTACTGTGCTTTACCTCACTGTGCTTCACAGAGACTACGATTTTTTACAAGTTGAAGGTTTGTGGCAACCCTGCATCAAGCAAGTCTATTGGTGCCATTTCCCCAACAGCCGGTGCTCATTTCATCTCTGTGTCACATTTTGACAATTCTCACAATATTTCAAACATTTTCATTCTTACTGTATCGGTTTTGGTGATCTGCCATTAGTGATCTTTCATGTTAGTTTTATAATTGTTTTGGGGCACTGTGAGCCACATCCATGTAAGATGGTGAACTTAATCAATAAATGGCATTTATGTTCTGATTGCTCCACCAACTGGTTGTTCCCCTGTCTCCCTTCCTCTCCCCAGGCCTCCCTATTATCTGAGACACAACAATATTGAAATTAGGCCAATCTATAACCCTACAATGGCCTCTAAGTAAGTGTTAAACCAAAAGCTAAAAATGATTAAGCTTAAAAAGGAAGGCACATTGAAAGCTGAGACAGGCCAAAAGCTATACCTTTTGCACCAGTTAGCCACAGTGTGAATGCAATGGAAAAGTTCTTAAAGGAAGTTAAAAGTGCTACTCCATTGAACACATGTTTGAAAAGAAAGCAAAACAGCCTTATTGCTAATACGGAGAACGTTTTAGTACTCTGGATAGAAGATCAAACCAGCCATAACACTCCCTTAAGCCACAGCCCAAGCTAGCAGAGGTTGGCTCATGAGGTTTAAGGAAAGAAATGGCAAGGTGAAGCAGCAGGTGCTAATGTACAAGTTGCAGCAAGGTATTAGAACATCTAGCTAAGATCACGGATGAAGGTGGTAACACTAAACAACAGATTGTCAATGTAGGTAAAACAGCCTTCTATTGGAAGAAGATGGAATCTGGGACTTTCCTAGCTAGAGGAGGGAAGTCAATACCTGGCTTCAAAGTTTCAGCAGACAGGCTGGTTATCTTATTAGGGATGAATGCAGCTGGTGATTTTAAGTGGAAGCCAATACTCATTAACTATTCCAAAAATCCTAGGGCCCTTAAGAATTATGCTAAATCTATAAATGCAACAAGAAAGCCTAGATGACAGCACATCTGTTTAGAGCATGGTTTACTGAAGATTTTAAGCCCAATGTTGACACCTACTGCTCAGAAAAAAAGATTCCTTTCAAAAGATTCCTGCTCACTGGCAATGCACTTGGTCAACCAAGAGCTCTGACAGAGATGAATGTTGTTTTCATACCGGCTAACACAACACACATTCTGCAGCCCATGAACAAGGAGCATTGTCATCTTTCAACTTTTATTACTTAAGAGGTACATTTTTGCCTGTAGTCCCAGCTACCTGGAGGCTGAGGCAGGAGGATTGTTTAAGCCCAGAAGTTCTGAGCTATAGTGCGCTATGTCAATTGGGTGTGCACACTAAGTTTGGCATCAGCATAGTGACCTTCTGAGAGCAAGAGACCACCAGGTTGCCTAAGGAGAGGTGAACTGCCCAGACTGGAAACAGCAGGTCAAAACTCTTGTGTTGATAAGTAGTGGTACTACGTCTGTGAATAACACTGCACTCCAGCCTGGGCAACATAGCAAGACACGATCTCTTAAATAAATTAAATAATAATTAAAAAAAAAAAATTTTGTGGGTCGGGCGCGGTGGCTCACGCCTGTAATCCCAGCATTTTGGGAGGCCAAGGCGGGCAGATCACGAGGTCAGGAGATTGAGACAATCCTGGATAACATGGTGAAACCCCGTCTCTACTGAAAATATAAAAAAATTAGCCGGGCATGGTGGCGGGCACCTGTAGTCCCAGCTACTCGGGAGGCTGAGGCAGGAGAATGGCATGAAACCGGGAGGTGGATTTATTTATTTTTATATTGAGACAGGTTCTCATTCTGTTGCTCAGGCTGGAGTACAGTGGCGTAATCTCAGCTCACTGCAACCTCCGCCTCCTGGGCTCAAGGGATTCTCATGCCTCAGCCTCCCCAAGTAGCTAGGACTACAGGCGTGCACCATGACAACTGGCTAATTTTTTGTAATTTTAGTAGAGATGGAGTTTCACCACGTTGGCCAGGCTGGTCTCGAACTCCTGACCTCAGGTAAACCACCTGCCTCGGCCTCCCAAAGTGCTGGGATTACAGGTGTAAGCCACTGCACCTGGCCTTTATTGGCATACATTGAAATAT